AAACTATCGCGTATGTTAAATATTTTGTAAAAAGTCAATTGTCGTAAACTACTGTTTAATCGAAAAATATTCTTTTGGGTCTGAATATTGGGGATGACAACCTTGTTCTGCAAATGATAAGAACGTTAAAAAAAAAATTGTTAGTCACGCAGATAGTTGTCTTGTGTTCCCAAAATAATCCGATGCGTAATTCAGCAAATTGGGGGAAAAAATATTAGAAAGAAGAAATAGTAGTTGAAAAAAAAAACCTATTAAGTTGAGAAAAAAAGATTGCATTAAATATGATTATAAACCTAGATAGAATTCTTATTGGATGGGATTCTACCATTTTAGATAAATGTTTTGCGGTAAGCATTTGGTCATTTGACTTATTTTGCATGGAATTGCATGAAAGTTATTGCCAAAAATCTATCGATTATTATTCAAAATAGAGATTAAAAATATAGTATTAATTAATATGTAGCCATATTGGTTTGTAATAATATTTTTATTGTGCTATGAAAGATAATAACACTATAAATATGAATTTCTGTGTTATGCTTATACTCCATACGATAGAGCTGACATAGCAGTAAATGATTGCTTTGTCAGGAAGAAAAGCTGTAAGGTTTTGGAATTTCAGTGTCCAATCATAGTTTCAGAGAGAATTATTAAAGTGAAAAGTATTCAATAATCCGATCACTAAGAAGATAACATATTTCTCTTTTTACCAGCTGTGGGCAAAAGCCAAAAAGTTAATTAACCAATTGGGTATCATATGCTCATATGACCTTTATGCTCATTGATTATTTAAATTTTAGTATCACAGTTACAAAGGTGGAATCTTCCTGGTGTAAACCAAAGTGAAAAAGTCAAAAACAAAGCAAGTGAAAGCTGATATTTTTCTCATTAATTCAGCGCATGAAAAAACTGATTTTTTCTCTTTATTTAAATTAACTAATAAAAGTATAACAAATTAAAAGAAGTGAATGGAAATGAGTGTAACTTCATCATGGTCCAAGAAGTGAATGTTTAATTTCCAATTTAAAGAAAGAAAATAGCACACGGGAAGCATAGCATATATATGCATATATACAGGAAGACTTTTTAAAATTCTTCAAAATGTAAAATACATCAGATATATATGTGTGTAAGAGAGAAGTGAGTAAGTTGACACCAACACTCAGCTACAAGCGGTTTTGATGGTTTTAAATTAAAATAACGACGTTGTAACTAAGATTATATATTAACAAATGGTCGTTGTAGTTAGGGCTAAAATAAACATGTTGAGCATTAAATGTGGCAATAAATTCTTCACTCGTTACTCGTATTTTCTTTTTCCCATACTTATAGAATCTTGCAACGGATCGGAATAACATAAGAAGAATAAAAATAAGACCTAGATCCGTCTTTGATTTTCTTTCTTTTTTATATAACCAACTATCGTGAATCCAAATGAATATATATACCAAATTTGAATCAAACGACCATATGTTTCAACTAACATGTAGATGAATATAATACTCTTGGCATTTGTTAATTGTTGCTGATCTTCAGTTCCAATACCAACTTTAATTGATTAAAGAGTTACGAAGATATCTTAAGTGAGTTAAAAAGACTCTCGATCTTAACGATTGTCCTTTTTACACTAACGAAGATTGGTAGAAAAAAACAAGTTCATGTAAGTTAATTATATAACCGACGAAAAGAGATAACTCGAAAATAGCCAAAAAGGGTTGGAGATTTACCTTAGCCAGAAGCCCGATTCCCAATTCAGTAGCTCTGAAAGGGACAGTGGTTTTGTTGACCAATTAGCAATTTATCTAAATAAATGGCTTTTTGCTAGCTGAAAAAGACCATTCACAAACTCACACTGCACACTTCCCTTCTTCTCTTCACAAATCTTTCCACTTATCTCTATTTTGTCGGCAAGAGGTTTCTTTCTATTTTGTTGAGAAGATACTTTTATCATCTTTTAGTTTTTTTTTCTCCCATCATCTCCTCAATTATTGTTGCATGAAAATTTGTATAATAACTATCTTCATGCAATCATATATTTATGTAGAATGTGTCATATCCTTATTGGGGTTTATCGTGTTGCTCGATGTGAAAGTTTAAAATCTCACTTCATCATCGTTCCAGATTTTATATAATAATTTATTTAAAACAGAAAGAAGTACTTATCATCATCCAGGATCCATGCATGAAAATGATCCTACTTCAAATTTGGATTTTTCGCATTTTTTTTTCAGTTAGTGATTTAAAGACACTAGAGATGTGATGTAATAAGATTAAAATATTGATTTCAACTAATGCTCAAAGATATTGCATGGAACACTAAGGTTGTGGATGGCTGAGCTTGCGTGAACTCTTTGTATCAAGTTAGTAGAATATGTTGGAGAGTTACACTAAGTAATATTAATTCTTAGCGTGAAGTAATCAATTCCAGTTATAAATATGAACTAGAACTAGATACGATGATGCAATCAATCCAAGTCTCACAGAGCAAATCAAAATTCCGATTATTAATTATAAGAGGTCGTTATCACTCGATTTCTCAGAGTGAAGCCGCACATTCTCTTTCATTTTTTCTTGGTAGAATTCTTTGGGGTCTTAAGTATAGTTTAATTATCCCACTTGTTTTTTTTTTTTTTTTTTTTTTGAACAAAAATTTTCAATTAACCACTTGCTTTTTTTATGTCCATACTGCATTATCAAAGTGTGAGATTCATAGATATTTTTTTGTTAAATGTCGGCAGATTGGAAATTATGATGAGATAATGACATTTCAATACTTTTTCTTCGTCTTTGTCTAAGATCTATTCAATACTATAAGAAACATATAATAAAATGTACCATACAGTGAATTTTGATTTGAAATAATCTTAAACGTAAATTGACGATTGCAAAAATATGGATATGGTGCTGCGAACATGGACCAACATGCTTCTTCTTCTATCCCTTATGGACCCAATGTCCATCATATGCATATAAATCGACATGCGTATTTTACTACTCTAATCAATGCACGGAATAATCTAGACGTACGCGTGATGCAATTCATATGTGATAGTATTAAATTGTGTGAATAAATTTATTCCCTAAGAGATCTCTAAAGAATTCTACTATAACTTATTTTTGAGAAAAAAAAATGAGGATTGAGATAGACTGATTTGATATGTCTGGCGTAGGCAAGTTCATGGGTAATACATAAAATTAAATTTGTTTCATTTTGAAAGAAATGCTAATAAATAATTATTGCAATATGGGATGCGTCTCTTGCCCATGTGCCAAGGCAAGACAATGACCCTTCATTAATTATGAAAATGCAATATTATCAATATGAATCATCGTAGCATCACATTCCTCCTATTGATTCCACTTTACCTTTTACTGAAAATCAATACGGGCAAAAAAACTGATTCTCATTTTAAAAGCTTAAAGTTGTAAAAAACAAAAGCTTTATCTTTTCTACTCAAAAGGATAATATTCGATCATTTGATTTGATTTTTCACATTTACTTAAACGATTATGAGAGCTCATATATTACGAAGTAACGCCCACATGTGTTACGTGGATATTAATGAGGGATGTTGAGGTCCAAAGAATCCAATGCATTGTTTGTATATAAAGGCCATATCACAAAGCCAAAGCATGTTAGACTGATGCCAAAGCATGGAACTATACTATTTGCAAATAGTGATACGTTAGGTGATGAGTACACACAAACAAAAGAATCGTTTAGAACTAAAAAAAAACTCATTTTCTGATATCATTCCCGAACAAATACAAGGCACAACCGCAATAAGTAAATATTGAGTTGGCTCTCGTACTTAGAAGCATGCAATATTGTAAAAATCTATGTCCTCGCAATCTTGAAAACCCGGTACGGTACTTAGCTTTACCGGTCGATTTCAGAGAAAGTTCATTGCTTCTGGCCCAATGCCTACTCTGGGCCGAATTATGGACGAGCCTTAGATTCATTTATTTTAAATTAAGCTGTTTTAGAACGACGCCGTTTAGGGCAGGGTTTGGTATCTTGGCAAGTGACGCCGTTTAATATACTCGGTTGAGTTAATTATACAATTGGGTGTAGACTTAAACCCAGAAAATAAACCGGGGACACAGATCTACTGGTTGAACCAGCTTGGTTCAAATCGCAACAGCCCTAACGAGTTTCATCTTCTTCTCTATCGTCTACTATCATCTGCGAAATCGACGACGACGTGCTAAGCCATCGATTTCCAGGTCTTGGTTTCTTCTTCTTTATCTCTGCCTTCTACCTGTTCAAGCAGCTCGTGTGTTGCTCTATTGGAATTTTAGATTTCAATGTTGGAATAAAATGACCGAAAATGGTCGAAAATCTTTGATTTACGATTTCTTTTTCTCCCTTTTTAGATTCTGGGTTTTCTTCTCCTGTGCCAGTAAACTTGGATTTAATTGTGACTTTTTCGTTGATTCGAGTATACGAGTTTCGAATTGATGATACAATCAACACTACATTTCCTGTGATTTTTATTATTCTTGATGTACTCTCTCATTGTCTAGTGGGTTCTTTTCCCAGAATGTTAAGGATTCTGAGCTTTTGATTCTGTCAATTTTATGAAACTAGTTCTGTTAAACCCTCTCAATATGTTTGTGTGACTGGTTTATTTTGATGATTTAGAAACTAAATATAGTTTTAGTAGCATTTATAAATTAAGAATTTTGTCGAAGATCATTGTAGGATTTTACAGGCTTTGGTCTCTCCAACAGTAGTTTAGTTCGTGTCTCTCATTTTCGCCTCTTTTTACTTTTGAATTCTCAATTAGAATAAGCTTTCTATTTGGTGATGTTCTTAGTATATCTCTGTTTAGAAACCTAACATGTATCTAATTTTTCCAGTGAAAGATAATGTTCTTCATAATGTTTCGGTGATATAGTTTTCTGGCTATATGGAATCTATACATCTTAAACCTGCTTTGATTTTCTTAGCTTAAATGGGATTAGTTGGCTTATTTTACTGGGTTTATCGTTTTCAGACATCCGAAAAATGGCTTTCTGCACCAAACTCGGCGGTCACTTGAAACAAAACAGGAACGTTCCAGTGACATCAATGCTCGGTTCTCTCCGGGACATGTCCACAAAACTCTTCATTGGTGGTAAGTAATAAATTTCCTGTTCAGATGACTTCATTTCATCGCTATTTGCAGTTGTGAATCTTTGTTACTGTATATTTTTATTTCTCTTTGTATTTGTATAGCAGTTTGAATGTTTTGGTCACTGTTAATTTCGGTCCTAGGTCTATCACCCGGAACTAACGACCAGGCCTTGAAGGATGCTTTCTCTAGCTTCAATGGAGTAACAGAGGGTAAGCCCATTGGTCTTATCAAATCTTTCTTTTTCACTGTTCTACAGTACAGTGTGTGTTTTCTTTGGGGCTAGTTCTGAACGGTTGTGTGACTAAAACGTATAAAGCCATTCAAACATGTGTGGTTGAGTTTTGAGCTGTCTTAGTCATGAATGATTGATGTTTATAAACAGTTGCAAGATATGATATTTGTCTGTTTGCTTTGGCTTGCCTTTGGACTTAACTATCTTGGTGGCTATAGTTAACATGCTCTATACTCAAGTCTTGTCGTCTCTCTTTGCTTCTGCAGCAACTGTCATGACAAACAAAGTCACTGGGAGGTCTCGAGGTTACGGATTTGTTAACTTCGCCAATGCGGATTCTGCAAACTCTGCTATTTCAGCTATGGATGGACAGGTTAGAATACTGAAGAGTCATCGATGATATAAATTTGTTGTGTTGGATTGTTAAATTTTGCTCTTTTTGATTGGTTCTTTGGGTGATTTGATTAGGAGTTGAATGGGTTTAACATCCGTGTAAACGCTGCAAAAGAATGGCCAAGCTTGCCATTGTCTTTGAACGAGAGTAAAGACGACGAGAAGAAAGGTAGCAAGACGGTGAGCCGATCTGTATGGAGAGACCCGTTCGTTGATGCGTTCTTGATGAAGAAGAAAAACGGACCTCTGAACAGGAAGATATGGTCACGGAGGTCGACGATTCTACCGGAGTATGTTGATTCCTCTGTGGGAATCTACAATGGCAAAACTCATGTGCGTTGTAAGATCACAGAGGGGAAAGTTGGGCACAAGTTTGGAGAGTTTGCGTTTACAAGAAAAGTGACGAAGCATCCTAGAGCAAAGTAAAGTGTATAATGTGCACTTTAAGCTTCTGAGAAATGAATAAGAATTTCGTAAGAGGTCAAACTCATTTAAGCTTAGAAAGTCTCTTTATCGTCTCTGAAACCTGAGGATGATTTAGATAAAAGCTCATTTTTCAAAACTTTTGTAATCCTCATTTTTTTTGTTTTGTTTTGTATCTTTATATCTTTCTAAATTCGATTCTTTGTTAAAATATATATTCTCTCAGTTTGAAACACTTGATAATATATGAAAAAGAAAGAGTATAAAAGTACTGCACTAGACAGTAAACAATTTGACATTTCGTTGACAAAGAAGAGAATAATTGACATTTCAAAGAAAAAAATAGTTAAAAAGTATAGTTAGTGTGGCGTATAATTGCGTTTAAGAGAAAATAATCACGTTTAAAAGAAACTTTTGTGAAAATGTGGTAGTTGAGATAGTATTAACTCACCGAACCACAATGTGACAAATTAATTTTGGAATGCAAATTATGGAGGAGCTTCATAATGCGTGGCCCTTGTACTTCTACAGAAATAGATATATGTCGACATCGTGACGTTCTTGAAAGTTATTTGGAGTCTTTTTTTTTTTTTTTTTTTTTCAAGGTAAGAATTTATTTTACTAAGCTAATTTTTGGTTCTTAGAAACATCTATAGACATATATATTTACTGCAAAGGTGCTTCAGTACGAATAGTGTCCTTCCAATTCAAATAGACCATCCAATTCGCTTTGATCCACATTTGCCGATTGACCAAAATATTATATAAGATTTGATATGTAAAGGCAATAAAAACAAAATACAAGATATTTCGTAAACTTCTCAAAACTAATTTGCATGATAGTTACTTTTCTTTTACTCTTGGACCACAACATATATATCTTAAATATCAAATATCTACAATCATTTTCATATCTATAATTTTATAAAAGTTTGTAAAAAAAAGAAACTTTTGATTTTGAAAATTTTGGAACAAACATAAAATGGTAGATAAGAGCATCTCTATCGGTTAATTGCTTAAAGAGAGTATCTAATCTATATTATATTAATATATTTTAATTATATAGTTAAAATTTAAATATAAAAAAATAAATTAATGAAATAATAACATATGAATCATTAAAGTAAAAAAAGGGTATCTGAAATTCTCTTGTTTAAGAGAACTAGATAAATACTTATGCTACGCTGCTGAGTATTTTTTAATTATAAATTAAATTACAGAAATTTATATATAAAATTAAAATTTTACATATTATATATTTTATTATTGCGATATAACTAAAACTTACAATTTTTTTTATTGTTGTCAATATCTTAAAAATTTGTTTTTGCTTGAAAGACTATTTTTGTCTGCTTGTAGGCGAAGCTAATTGCTTTGTACATTTAACCTTTTGATTTTCATTATTGTTCTCTGGTCTCCTCTCTCCTGTTATAAAGTTTTTTTTTTCTTTTTGTGAGTTTAATATAACCATACACATAACACATTGCATACTATTAAAATCACAACAGCTAACGTTAAACTAAAACTATGCATTTTGGATTGTAAAAAAACGACATGTGTTTTGTAAAATTTCAAAAAAAATTAATGAAAAAACCCCTCAAATAAATACGGATAAAGAATAAACCCCTCAAACCTTTAACAATATTATAGACAGAGGGATTTTTTATTAACGGACTTATAGTTGAGGGATTTTTACATTAAATCTATAGTTGAAGGGTTTTTCTTCGATTAATATTTAGTTGAGGTTTTTTTTTTACTAAAACCCCTATTTTTTACTCATTTTAATATATAGATTGGAGCAGCCTTATTCTCGAAGCTGAAACCTTAGTCCAACCCAGTTTGATTTTTATTTCCGAGTAACTTCCTTTTCTTTTCTCTCTTTCTTTACCTGAAATAAATAAGGTATCAATAATTACAAACCCATGGATAGATATTCTCCGTAGCTGAAACCCGCTCCAGCAGTTGGCCAATCCGAGTCAATTACAAAGGAAACACTATACAATTGGAAAGGCTTTCTTACGATGAGCATTATGAAGATATATATGTTCTTTTGATCGTCGATGTAATTGAGCTGTTTGATCTCCCGTACAGCATCTTAAACCGTTGATCCGACACCGACATTTGGTTTCTCTGATTAGTTAGCTGTTATTGTGATGAGAACAATTAGATAATAACGATTTATGAGTATATGAAGAATGGAACTGTAAAGAGTCATCTTTACGGCTCGGGTCTTCCTAGCTTGACTTGGAAACAATGGCTTGAGATTTGCATTGCTGCGGCTAGAGGGTTGCATTACCTACACACTGGTGACTTGAAACTGGTGATTCACATCGGTTAAACCGAAAAATTAAATCAGTATCTGGCTGAACCGAAATATAAACCAAACATTTAAGCCAAATCTCAAACAGAGTGAACCGGCGATGGTAAACTCAAGTGACTCAGAACTGAACTTCGATCGGCGAGTGTAAACGGCTTCTCCTCTCCAGTTAAAAAGTGAAGATGAAGCTTAGGGTTGTGTATCATAAAGTTTCCGATTACATCCATTACGATCTCAAAGAAATCGTCTTACCTTCTTCACTTCCTGATCCTCCTCACGTCATAAAACGCCGCAAATTGATCTGGCACGAGCGATTTCTAGTGAGCTTCCTTCCTTTGAAATTTCACATAGGGGTTGAATGGTATGCAACTTATTCACGTTTTCACATTTTGAAAACGTGATTCTACTAAATACATATCATTCACAATATTAAACATTGAATGATAAAACGTGAAAATTAACACACCATTTTTCAATTTATCCCGCACGTTTTAAATTTATAACTACTTTTGAGAAAAATCTATTCATCTAATAAATACTAGCTTTTTAGCGTTCTGAGTTTATTCAGTTTTCAGTTTACCTATTCTATTGATGCCGTTAGTTTATTATTCAACTATTAAGTTGACATACCAGTCAACCTTGTAGTCTTCTACATCCACGGTCTGGGTGTTCTAAAATTTCTTACAAGGATAAGCAAGTTCGCCTATTTTTGTCGTGCTTAATGTTATGTGGAACTCTGTTTGGTTTTCTTCTGTCTGATTTGTAGTGAATGAATCCTTCAGCTACGTCTTTAATCATCACTGTTTGCATATACATTAAGGGAAAAACTCTTATGCGACGAAAACAAAAAGAATGTTGCAGAGATATTATCTACAATGTGAGATTTGGATATTCTCTGTAGCTGAATCTATGAAAATATAGAGACTCCTATTGTGAATCTATGAACACTTCTACAGATGAAACCCAGATAGGATCCTAAGTACAATTAGCTTTAACATAATCTTAGCGAAGCAAAACTTAGATTCATGATGAAAACCATGAAGCCAAAGATAATCTACACTTTCAAACAGTCCAACAGTTAACCCAAAACAATACTATCACTAAACTTAGAGACTCACAAACGCAAGCCAGAATTTCAAATCAGAATTCCATAGACGCACGCCAACCTTGCATAGAGGATAAACCATATCTAAGTTTATCATTCTCTCCATCTTCTGAAAACTTATCTGTTTTCGGAGAGCTAAGGTATATACCCATCTCGTTCTGCAAAAATCAAAATTGGAACATTTCTCATTTCTTCATGGTACATGAAACGATTCTCGTTTAATAGTAAAATCCAAAAATACGAAAATTTGTGAAATTTGAAGAGGATTTGCAATAAACGTCACCTGAAAATCAGCTCAGGGACCTGTTGTGATCTTAATATTTCAGAGATATTTCAAACGTTTTCACCACATTGTTTCTCTTTTTTCACCACAATTGCAACTGATCCCCTCGTCGACCCCGAGATGTTGACCTAGAGACCTCTTGACGGAGTTGCGCAGGGGTAAGGTAACATCAAAAATATCGGAGGAGCTCTCAGTAATCTCATGGGAACATCAAATTTGGGTTGAGCTATCTAATGTGTTTGTGTTATCAAAACAATAAAATGGGCTAAGAATAGTTTTTTTTGATCCAGATGAATTGTAAACATTTTTAGATAAAATGTGGATTTTTTATTTTAATTTTGGTTATATTTTTTTTGACCTAGATGAACTGAATTTTTTTTTAAATGAGCTGTATTATTGAAATGTTTTAATTGATGAATTTATTTGCTGATGTGTCGGCTTCTCAAAGATTAAAAAATCTGATGTGTCAACTTATAAAAAGAATTATTGTATTGATTATACTAGGTATATACCCGCGCTACGCTGCAGGATATATTTCTAGATTTTGTATATATTTTTTATATAATACAATTATTTTTATAATGTAAATGAGTATTATATTTATTTTTTTATTAGCTTAAGTTATGTATTTATATGTTTTAAATCTGAATAAGTATTATATATTTTTAAATTTTTTTATTTTTCAAAATTATAATCTACTATCAAATTTATTTAGTTAACTATCCATAAATGTATATGTAAGAATAAAATAATACATTCAAGTACTTTTATGCTAATGGCAAATGTAAATTGTTATCTCTACTAAATTGTCATTTGATCCTCATTTGAAATTATATAAAGCAAATTGCTATTTTAAAAAAAACTGAGAAATCACACTTTCTAACAAAACAAAAAAATTTCATTTCACATATTCCCGCCAAAACCAAAAACATTCATTTTCTCGTCAAACCTGAAATTTCATTTTTACACCAAAATAGAGAAATTGCATCCCGCAAAAACTAAAAAATCACATTTTTCTGCGAAAACCTGTGTTTTCTCGTCAAAACAGAGAAATCAAGTTTTTTCACCAAGACAAAAAAAACATTTTCCCATGAAAATTGAGAAATCGTCAATTCCCTCAAAAATAAAAAATAAAAATCATCAAACCAAAAATCAGGCCTTCCTACCAAAACTGATAAACTACAATTTCTCGCAAAAACCAAAAATTGCATTATCTCCTGAGAAATTGTGTTTTCCGTGAGAGCTAAGAAATCGCATTTTACCGCGAAAACCAAAAAATCACATTATATGTCAAAAACTGAAAATTTATATTTTCCATCAAAATCGAAAAATTGCTTATTTCTTCCAAAATCGAGAAATTTTGTTTTCTCATCAAACTGAGAAATTGCATTTTCCGCCAAAATCGTCAAATTACAATTTCCCACGAAAACTAAGAAATCACATTTTCCCGCAAAAATCAAGAAATCACATTATCCATCAAAAGTCAAAAATTTGCATTTCCTATCAAAACCAAGAAATCATATTTTTGTCAATTTAAAAGTTGCATTTTCCTCTCATTTTCTCGTCAAAACTAAGATATTTTGTTTCTGCATCAAAAGCAATTTTTTTTCTCACCAAAACCAAAATATTCACATTTTCCCGCCAAACCCTATAATTCTTTTTTTCCACCATAACCAAGAAATTATATTTTTCTAGCAAAACTGAAAATCACACTTTCCAACCGAAACCAAAGAATTCCTTATTCCCGCTAAACCCATGAAAATGTGTTCTGAATAACCATTGGAAATGCGAATCTCCAAGTTATGGTGGTCTGAGCTTCTCCTCATTTGCTTTCGACTTCTATTTTTTTATAAACTTTTGGGCTTTTTAATGGGTCTGCAAAATAGTAAACTGATTTTATTAGTGTGTTAATAATATGTATTATTGTTATGTTTTTATTGGTTCAAATTTTTGCTGATGTGTGAACTTATTATAACATAAAGCTTTTTACATTATTATTATGGAAACATAGTTGATGATGTGCCTACACTTTTTCAATCATATACGTCTCTGTCGAGCAAACAAATAGCAAATTTTTTATTTATTTATTTACTATTAATTATTATTTGGGTTTGAGTTTGGCAAAAAACAAAACATAGATTTAATTTTTTTCATTTGCTGTTATTTATTATTTGAGCTTGAATTTGGTAAACAATAAAACAAAGATTTTTTTTTTATTTGCTGTTATTTATTATTTAAGCTTTGATTTGTTAAAAAATAAAACAAATTATTAACAAAAAATATATTTGGATTTTTCATGAGTTTTAATTTAAAAGTTAAAATAAGTAAATGAGTTGTATTAATGTTTTAATTTGATTGGTTTGTAAAATAGATGAGGTGTCAGCTTCTCAAAGATTAAAAAATCTGATGTGTCAACTTATAGAGAGACTTAAGTATTATTGTTGTATTGATTATCTCTATTTCTCTTCTTTTATTATTATTTTATTTTCATTTAATTTTAAAATACCCAGCTTACATATCCCATTAGAGTTGCTCTAACGTTTTTCATAGTTGATTGAACACCGATAACCACTAACACTTGCGAACGTTTGTGAGAGAACTAATGCAAATAAAACTTATGAATTGTGTATCTCACTGTCTCCACAAAATATCAAATCAACAAACCGACATCGGTTACATAATTGCAACGTCTCGTTGCTTGCTTAAAATATTCCAAATATTTAGGAAACACACGAAAAGTTCGAATACTTCTTCACTTCACCTTATTTTTGCATTTATTTGTCTGTATGGTTTAATTCAGATCCACCGACGCTCTTCTACGAACCGGTGCACATACGCGGCACCAACGGTCAAAATACTTTGCCTTAAGTGACATTCAAAGTATAATCTACAGTATAAGGTAACTACAAAAATTGTAAAGGGATTTTCTCTAAAGTATCTTATTGAAGTTTATAAATTTGAATGTTTACACTTTTTTTTAGAACTAAATCTTTCTATGTTATGAAATACTACATTTTTCCTTATTGTAACTTTAGTAAAACTAAAGATAAAATTTAAACTACATCAAATAAATATATGTTATTAATTTAATATTTTAATGGGTCTGATTGGTAATATCTATAGTTTTATGGTTTTGTTGTAAAAATAGGATTCTAAATTTTTTTTTGCTATAGACTGTAAATTTTGAGGTTGATTGGTAAATACTGCAGAATCTGCACACAACAATAGTTTTTTAAACTATATATCTTTTTTTTTTTGGCTGTACAAAACAAAATATGTAAAACATTAATAGTTTGATTGGTAACAATTGTAACTTTATGTTTTTTGTAGAAATATGGCTGTAGTTTTTTTTGTAGTTGTATATTTTATTTTTTTTTAAATATTGGCTGTGGAATTGTAAAATTTGGAAAACATAAATTTAGGTGCTTTAGAAAAAATGATTTGTACAGCAAAAAAATAAAAAGGAAATATTTTGGCTATAAGCAAATAAAGGAAAGCATGATTGGTATGATTTAAAACATCAAACATAAATATTACTATGCACAACATCTACATCAACAACCAATCAAGCCTTAAATTATGGTTTTGAAAAATTAAAATTCCATAGCACTAAAATCTACAGAATTAAAATCTACAGTCACAACAAAAAAATTTACAACTTTATTTCTATAGCAAAAAAATTAAAGCTATAATAGTAACCAATCAAGCCCTTTATTTTTTTTTTAACCTTTAGCTGTAGAATTGTAAAATTTGGAAATCATAAAATTACGTGTTTTAGAAAAAAATGTTTTATACAGGCAAATAATTTTTAAAAAGAAAGTATCTGGCTGTAAGCAAATAAAGAAAAAATAAAATTTATTAATTATAATTTAGAGCTGTAAACATAAATATTGAGCAACAACCAATCAAACCCAATATTTACTACTAAATAATTCTTTTGAAATATTTCAAATTTACTTTTCACATACCTCTAAAGCTTACATGATGTTCATTTAAACTATTTATTAAAATTAATTCAATACTTTTATTTTAAGATACGAGAATAACAAATGAGAATATGAAACATAGTCAATATCTATTTTTTTTTTACTTTTTTCCAAATCATCTTCAAAAATCATACTTTTGTAAGATAAAAAAATCATTCGAATATTTGTTTATAGATCTTCATCTTCATCATATAACATTGTTAGGTTTGAGTTCATCACATAATATTTGCTACACAAGATGTAGGTTTGAGTTCTATACCCATTTGCTAGGTTAAAACGAACGACTAAAACACCTAGTTATTTTTCTGAGTATCACTCTTTATTTCCTTTATTTTTTTCTTCTAATATTTTAGTTTATTTTTCTTTTTCAAACTAAATTATATTCTTTTATTATCTTTGTTTTTCTAAAATTTTAATCGAAACACATATTGCGATAATATGGTTTACAAAATATTTAACTTTATATACTAAGATATATTACATAATTTTTGTTGGTGTGTAAGTAATACCTAATTTAGGCAATTCATTAATTTAATAATCACCCTTGGTTATATAGTACTACTAATTTTTGTTCACAAGTGAAATCGAAAACAGAATTGCCACCTTTTTCGGAAATCTAAAAAAAGATGAAAAGTCTAATTCTTTTACCAGATCCACCAAACTCTCTCCAACTAATCTCAGCCGTCCATCTCACTCCCGCTTTTATCTATTTAACATCACTCGCTACCTTTCGTTTCTCCTCGCACACTTACTCCCTTTTCCTCTCACATCTCACACATTCAGAGATCGGAGGAAAAAAATTCAAATTTTCCAACAATGGCGTTGCTTGTGGAGAAGACGTCGAGTGGCCGTGAGTACAAGGTCAAGGACATGTCTCAGGCCGATTTCGGCCGTCTCGAGATCGAGCTCGCCGAGGTCGAAATGCCTGGACTCGTCTCTTGCCGTACCGAATTCGGTCCTTCTCAGCCACTTAAAGGAGCTAGAATCACCGGATCTCTCCACATGACGATCCAAACCGCCGTCCTCATCGAAACCCTAACCGCCCTCGGCGCAGAGGTCAGATGGTGCTCCTGCAACATCTTCTCCACCCAGGACCACGCCGCCGCCGCGATCGCCCGCGATTCCGCCGCCGTGTTCGCCTGGAAAGGGGAGACTCTTCAGGAGTACTGGTGGTGCACGGAGAGAGCTCTCGATTGGGGTCCAGGAGGCGGTCCCGATCTGATCGTCGACGACGGTGGCGACGCCACTCTCTTGATCCACGAAGGAGTCAAGGCCGAGGAGATCTTCGCCAAGACTGGTCAGTTCCCAGATCCGACTTCCACCGACAACCCCGAGTTCCAGATCGTGTTGTCGATCATCAAAGATGGTCTTCAGGTTGATCCCACGAAGTACCACAAGATGAAGGAGAGACTAGTCGGTGTTTCCGAGGAGACGACCACTGGTGTCAAGAGGCTTTACCAGATGCAGGAGACTGGAGCTCTCTTGTTCCCTGCCATTAACGTCAACGACTCCGTCACCAAGAGCAAGGTATCGCTTTCTTTCTTCTCCAGATCAAATTTCAAGCTCGAATTTTGCCAAATCTTTACAGATTTTAAAGTTTATCCACATCAATTCTCGCTTCCATTATAGCTCTAGAAGACGAGATCTGACGCCATGTTTCAATTAGCAAAATGTGTTTGATTCATATGTGTAGCAGCAAGATCTCTGTTTTTTAGCTTTATTTCTCAGTATGTGAATCAGTGATGATGATTGACTTGCTTGCAGTTCGACAACTTGTATGGATGTCGCCACTCTCTCCCTGACGGTCTCATGAGAGCCACTGATGTCATGATCGCCGGAAAGGTCGCTGTCATCTGCGGTTACGGTGACGTCGGAAAGGGTTGTGCTGCGGCAATGAAAACCGCTGGTGCCCGCGTGATCGTGACAGAGATTGACCCAATCTGTGCCCTTCAGGCTCTCATGGAAGGACTCCAAGTTCTCACCCTCGAGGACGTCGTCTCGGAAGCTGACATCTTTGTCACCACCACCGGAAACAAAGACATCATCATGGTCGACCACATGAGGAAGATGAAGAACAACGCCATCGTCTGCAACATCGGTCACTTCGACAACGAGATCGACATGCTCGGCCTCGAGACTTTCCCTGGTGTGAAACGCATCACCATCAAGCCTCAGACCGATAGGTGGGTGTTCCCGGACACCAAGACCGGCATCATTGTGCTAGCCGAAGGTCGTCTGATGAACTTGGGATGCGCCACAGGACACCCGAGTTTCGTGATGTCGTGCTCGTTCACCAACCAGGTGATTGCGCAGCTCGAGCTATGGAACGAGAAGTCGAGCGGGAAGTATGAGAAGAAGGTTTATGTTTTGCCTAAGCACTTGGACGAGAAGGTGGCTGCACTTCACTTGGGCAAGCTCGGTGCTAGACTCACCAAGCTTAGCAAGGACCAATCTGACTACGTCAGCATACCCATTGAAGGTCCTTACAAGCCTGTTCACTACAGGTACTGAGAAGACGAACAAGGCCGAAGCTTTTGGGTTCTACGTATGGTTTTTATGGTTAAGGCCGATTAACATGGCAATTGTTTGAGTCGGTTCGGGTCTGGTCTGGTCTGGTTTGGGGAAATCTGATGAGGTTGACCATATATTGGGTATGAATAAGGGGTTTTTAAGAGGCTATTTTTGTTTGTTTTTCATTTTTCTACTATTATATTTTTGGTTTATACTGTTGTTAGGCTTATTTATGCATTGTTTTGTTTACTGGTGAGAAAGTTAAACACGCAAAGCTAGATTCTCGGCTTCGTATTACTGGCAACGATCTGTCATTGTATGCTAAGTTGGTCAATACAAGTGTTGATTTTTCAGAAACACAAATTGTTTTTGGGTTTTGAAGTCCAATTTAGTGGACATGGACCGACCCGATTGAGCTATTAAGGTTCTTTCTTTTCCCCTTCCCTTTTTCTTCTGTCGCCATCGAATCTTTTTCTTTAAGGGTTTTAGGTTGTTAAGTAACAGAGGCAAAAGAAAAGAGTTCTTGAAGGTTAACCTAACATTTATATACATTAGATCGATCCTCGTTGTAGAGACTTGAAACAATGACGAAGATGTCTGATCTTACAAGGGATATGTCGGAAGAGATGCTTTCTAGGGTTCCCTTGACATCTCTGAGAAGGGTCCGAACCACTTGTAAAAAGTGGAGCACTTAATCCAAAGATACGAGCTTCGCAAAGAAGCACCTTGTTCATCAAGCAAAGTTAGCAGCAGAAGCAAAGGAGTTTATGGTGGTCGCGATGATGGATTTTAAGGTTTATCTGATGCGTGTCAATCTTCATAACAGCGTCGAATCATGCATCAAACGTGAAGGTGAACTTATTGGCATAGGCGACGGTTCAGATGAATGCGATGTATCTCAAGTCTTTCACTGCGACGGTCTATTGTTATGCATCATGAAAGATGACGCTAGGCTCTTGGTTTGGAATCCGTACTTGGGGCAAACCAGGTGGCTCGAACCTACTTTTGAAAACTCCACATCAGTAGACACGTATTTGTATGCTCTTGGATACGACGAGAGCAGCAAATCCCGCAGGCACAAAGTCTTGGTTTTTATTGATTTACATAATTTTTTTATCAGTAATTTTTTTTGAGTTCAAAATCTACGACTTTAAGGCTGATTCATGGAGGGTTCTTCTCGATGTCACTCCAGACGAATGGTGTATATATTATCATGACTATAGCGTCTCTCTCGAGGGAAATACCTACTGGTTTCGTACAGATTCGGAAAGAAGATACGATGATGCTTTCTTGATCTGTTTTGATTTCACAGGAGAGAGATTTGGTCCGCGTTTGCCTCTTCCGGTTCGGTGGAGTCGTTTTGTAGACAATATGACTCTATCAACTGTTAGAGAAGAGCAGCTTGCGGTTTTGATTCAGCGATGGGATTCATTGGAGATATGGATTACGACCAAGATTGAGCCCAACGCGGTGTCGTGGAACAGCAAGGTGTTCTTGGCAGTGAATATGAGACTACTCACATCTAGCTTTCCGGTGAAGGTGAACGCTGGGAGTTTCTTTGTTGACGAGGAGAAGAAAGTCGCCGTGTTTTTTTATAAAATTAGAGATAACTTAAATCCCAAGAACGTTGCTTACATCATCGTTGGAGTGGATGGATCCTTCAAAAAAGAAGCACATCTCGGAGAATCTGCATTCCTAACTTGTTCACGTGTGTACTCTTATGTTCCAAGTTTAGTGCAGCTTTAACAATAATCTTTTAGCGGTATCTTGTTCGTTTCATCGCATAAATTTATGCTTTTTTTTTGTTCTTCCATTAGTTCATTTGTAGCTTCTTCTCTTCCTTCTCTGATTCACACAACACAACCGAAGCGTCTTGAGAACAAATTATTTGTTTGAACAAGACAGAGTTTGTTTTTTTACAAAGAGAACACATTACTTAAACCGTTTCCTTCTCTGAACTCACACAACACAACACAAAACATACTAAAGCATAACTCAGCTAAAACTCTTTATTCTTTTACACATTGAGTTCAATGGAGAATCCAAGATTTAGGTTCTTGAAATTACAAAACGCTGATTCTCTCCGGTGGAGGAGGACCGACTCTATCAAATACCTTATCCCAATCCAGAAATCGAAATTCTACCTACGACTAATATAAAAACCATCTCAATTCTTAACATAACAAAAAAACTTTTAATCTTGGCTCTTAAGCACCTTGAAAGAAGGTTGAAAACCCCAATTTTATCCTACAATTTCCACTCAACACTTCCAACAATATAAATATCAATTACTTGAACATTGATCCCAAATTGTTCCAAATTACATATACCTAAGTAAGACCTTCTACTGTAAACAAAAACAAAATACAAAAGCAAAACACAGGAACAAGATTTTTTACTTGCCTTCATCCTTGGACAGACAGAGAGAGAGCATCTCATAGCATCTGAATTTGTGCTTTAAGACAATTAAAAAAGCTTCCCATTGTCAAGATCCAAAGAAAAGCCGAAAAATGTTTTCAGTTCTTGATGTCGCTTGTGTCTCTAGCACACCTAGTAATGATGTTGCATCCTCTACCGTAAGAATTCGCCTGCCCTGAGTGACAAGCGTAATAAGAAGCGCCTGGTTTCTGACAAGGAACCATGTCTCTCCTTAGCGTTGCGTAGCTTATGTACTGTTTCCTCATCATCATTTCTCTCCGGCTTATCTCCGACGGCATCATCTCCTCTCCTTCTTCGCCGATTACCCCGTTCCGGTCAAGTATTGCGTCAATTTCGCCGTTCACCCGCGAAATCGGAACCTCGACGGAGATTGAGAGATGGGTCTGAAGTAAAAGTATGGATAAGTAGACGAGAGCTAAAGATCTCGACATGTCGGTGTGGGAAATTTTTGGTAGAAGTGTGTTCTCTGTGTTACGAAATCCTCCAAGTAGCTTCTTCGTTCTTGGAGCTAAACCGGTCGGTTTAAAGAAAGATAGATAGAATCCAATTGAATTGTTACGTCAATCAAGTATTTATTTAATAAATTATTGTGGTCCACTATCAAACACTTGGTTCCTTTGAGAATTCGTGATTAATTTGTTGTTTTTTCCTGTTCAACTGTAATGATTTTTTTATTTCGTTTGCTTATAAGTCAAGATTTTGTTTCTCCCATGTGGATTTAGGATGATAATTCTTTTTTAAAATAAATCGTTATTAAAATAGAATAGAATTTAAAAATCAACATGTGTTTATGTAGTCATCATATGATTAAAATACTTCAACAGTTCAATAATTTTGAGGGTCATTAACTGATCACTATGATTAAATAAGTGGGGTTTGGGTAGTAAAAGCGATCATTAAGGCGTTAGTGTAATTGCCACCAAACAAGTTCAACAACCCAAACTAATCAATCATACTGAGCTGTTTTCATTGACCCACCCACACACTCTATTTTTCGATTCACACGAAAATATCAATAAATTCACATCATTGCTTTAGACAAAAGATAAAACCATAGTATAATCATCAGAGCTTACAAATAAACCACTTTCTCGGTAGGTTATTTCTTTCATTTTAAATATTTTAAAGGAAAAAAACAATTATAGAATCATCTATACTATTAAAAAAGAGAATCATTATTTTAAAATGTTCAAAAGCTATTATGATATTTACTAAATGTGTCATTATATTTGCTAAACAATTTTATTAACTCAATAAAAGTAATTTAGTTATATCATTAAAATGTTAACAAATGCATTAATTTTAAAATTTGATCGTAAAAAAAGATTTTACAGATTTTACAATTTTATGAAAAACACAGGTTTGTGGATTTGGCGAGAAACATGTTTTGTCGAGTTTTATAGATTTGATGGGAAAAAGTGATTTTATGAATTTTATTAAAAATAACAAATTTTTTTTTTTTTGAAGGTTTGATAAAAACATGTAATTTTTGAAATTTGGCTATAGATTACAGTTTTATGGTGTTGGGGGAAAATATAATTTTTGATTTTGTTAAAAAAATGTGAGTTTGCAGTTTTGGCAAGAAAATACAGTTTGATGGAAATGCTATTTTCACAGTTTCTACGGAAATTTCCGGTTTTGGTATAACAACATAATTTTATGATTTTGCAGGAAAATACAGTTTTTTTTTTATTTCGATAGAAATCTCTGATTTTATGGTTTTGACAAAAAAATGATTTTATGGTTTAAATTAAAGGGTGTTTTAATCTTTTAATTTTTGAGATTCAAATGTTGTATCCAAACTTTTTTTTAAGCATCTTAAATATCCAAATTTTGAAATATTATAGATGTTACATCTAGATACAACATCGTATACTGATTTAAAAATATTTAAAAGAACAATATTTGAGTATTTGCATCCAAATAAGTATTTGGATGCAAAAATAAACAAAACCTAATTTATATTGAAATCTTAATTACAAACAAATAAAATCTTTCTTGCATTAGAAAACATAATATTTTAAAATATTTGTTGCAAAATTTAACAGAAAATCCGCTAATCAAAATTTTTTTTTAGAAAATCAAATCTAAATAATTTTAACAACATAAAATTATAATGTAAAAATAGTTTATATAATCGAATAAAAAATGTGTTTGAGCCACAATTTTGAATTTAATAATATAAACTATTTTTTAAATAAAAATTTAATATAAATCAATTTTTACGTTGTTCAAAAATATTTTATAAAAAGAAATTCACGCAAATGCACGAATCCAAAATCTAGTTTATTCCGTTAAAGAAGGAAACTGATAGATAGTAGTGTCAGTTTTCCCCCGCTAACAAATGTAAATAACACTAGAAAATAAGATAGATGAGGACCTCCTCAAAGAATTACATATATATGTGGTTCAAAAAAAAAAGAATTTCATATATAGCCTATAGAAAAAATAACAATTAGCGAAAAGAATAATAATTAGTTGGCCAACGTGTAGTTGCCGGTTAAAATAGGATTTATTGTTCTAAAAAAAGGATTTATTGGGTCTACGAAACTTGATATTGT